CCGGGCCGAGCGGCCGGCTCTGTCCGACTCGTGAGAAGGGCGGTTTAAAATCTCGGCTTTTAAAAAATGCTAGTCCGAGTTTCGGCCGAAGGGACAGGACCCGGTGCAGCGTTAGTGTTTTCTCCTTGTGTGCCAAGACGCGAGTAGATTTGACATGCGAGTGGAAACTTAGTATCACCACGGCGTTAATCGCTCCTGGGCTGGTGGTTAGGGCGTGTGTGTGTGCGTGTGTGTCACAGAATCTGTGAAGGGAAGACCAAGTCGGTGAGGGTGAGTGCAGAGCTAGAGTAGGGAAGTTCTTCAGTCCTGACAACCGCGCTCAGACGTTCAAGGCCTTGACTTTTGAATGACTTAAGCGCCAAGATGTGTGTTCCCTAATCACTAAACAACTTAAAAACCTCACGTGGGTACCACGCGTTGAGTATACTCCTCTTCTTTTATGTACTTTAAAATTAGATTATTAAGATGGAAAATAAGTTAGACACCATCCCATCTCATTTATGTAACCGGGACTTTAACTTTTTTATTTTCCCAGCTGTTTTAAAGGTCCTCGTTACATATTTAAATATGAGAGCAACAATGAAAAAGCACAGCTCCAATCTGCAACGTGAAGGAAACAAGTCCTGAGAGCACAGGCTCTTGGTGGTGTGCTTGCTGTGTGCTCCTGCACGCCACAGCCGCCCTTAGTTCAAATCTAAACTGCCGACTGGAAGTGCAGAGGACTCATGCCCTAAGCACGATTACTTTGAGTCATTTCCTTTTCTTTTCTTCCATTTTCTCAGACGCCCAGCAGCATTCAGTCTTGGGCTGATGGTTGGTAAAGTGAGGACTTTTGTGGTACGAAAGTCCTCCCCCCGAGACTGCATGACTACCGTTGAGGCTGGCCTCTGATTCCAGTGGTAAACTTTCCAATTTAGGAGGATCCGATAAATAACTTTATGAATTTCAGAAATCATGAGCGTATTATTCTTGTGTGTGTACATGTATGATAAATGCAATGTGGTTTGTAGATTAACATAATTTGAAGTTATGTGGAGAAACATAGAACAAAACAGTAAGGTAAACAGGCTGCCACATGTGGCTACTAAGGCTCATGGTTTTTATTTAGCTGATTTACACTGGGCTGTTAAAATAGCATTTACTTAAATGTGAGGAATCAGATGAAGATTATGTCAGAACTGCAGGAATTAGAAATGAGAAATTAAGAGCCCCGTGGCTTAGTTTCGGAGGAGTGAATGGAGCCTTCCACCTGTGCGGTGACCTCTCCTCCTACAAGTAGTCCAGTGTTAAAAAGTTTACTCAAAAAAAAGTTAACTCACATGGCAGAATGTAAACTAATTAGTTACTTCCTTTTTTATGGTTTGCTGCTTCAGTGTAAATCATGTAAAAGTAGGTGGGATTAGACTCACTGAGAAGTGCTGGTGAGAGGGTAGAAGACACCAATAGAAGTGTGCTATAGGAGACATGGGATTGTCACTGAGCATGCGTCAAAGGGTGTGCGAAGATGATGCTGAAGTTCATAATCCACATTTATTTTGCCCTGGCCTTTAAATCTGGCAAATAACCTTTCTCAGTAAGTACTATAATTAATCAGCGGGAACTGAAGATGCAAGGCTTTCTACTCACATATTCTGGTACGCAGGTTTGCTTTGTTTTGATGAACTTCTTGGCTGCAGAGTGTATGCAGTTTGGGATAAGTGTCTCAGTGCTCCGAGCTTCACTCTTCTCCGCCAGACTGAGTAAACGTGCCCTTGTCCCTGAATATGTGGTGCCCTGTCCTGGCCCAAGCCTCTGCGTGGACTTTTTTTTTTTAACAGTTCTAAAAGTTTTATTCCTAGAGATTTGACTCTCAAAGCTTTCAAAAAAGAATTCACTGCTTTTAACTAAAGTAATAAAATGTACGGACCGCTTTGCAAATTTGCGTGCCACCTTGTACAGGGGCCGTGCTGCTCTTCTCTGTGGCGGTCCAGTTTTGCTATTTGTGCTGCCGGAGCGAGCGCTGTGTGGACTCTTGTTGGGTGTGGACCAGCTGTCTCCCTTTTTGAGCGCAGAGGACCCAGCCCTTTGATGGCTGTAAGTGACCTTTCTCCCCTGTGTATGAGCTTTTGGAGGTAGGATTCGCAAAACCTTGGGCAGCCTGGCCTGCACTGGTGCCTCCTCAGGGCAGGCCTCCAGTGAATGCTGAATAAATGGGCGTATGATTTAGGATAAACAGCACATTCTAATACCAGCGTCCGGCCTGTTTGTGTTTCTTTTCCTTAAGTCATGTTTGAAGGGAAAGGGACCCCCTGGAAGAAGCTGAGTGTGAAAAGTCAGGGGCTGGCTGTGGCCACTTTACCTGGGGGAGCCAAGACCCTGTTAGCCAGGCAGGGCTGTTTCCTTCCTTTTCCTTTTTCCATCTTAGTCGACTCAAAGGTTAAGTAAAAATTAATGATGAAAAATGGCAAGCATATGAGTACAACAAATAATTGAACAGACCTGTACCTACCACTGAGATGTTTCTGCTGAACCTCTCTGTGTCACTGGGCGAAGTAAAAAGAATGTAAAATATACAAAATGCAAGAGCAGGCAACATGGAAGTTGTAAAGGATTATGTTTATCTTTTACAAAGTGTTTTTATGTGATCTGTTAATTTCCTTTTCAGGAACTGTTACTACGGTAAGCACTTTGGGGAGAAAAAGACTTAAATTGGTTACCCTGGGGACTTGTCAGCATTTTGCATTTGTCTCTTGGTTTCAGTATACAAAGGAGCTGATTGATTTGGTGAGATTTGGTTGCTAGTTAAATAATTCAAGACAGACCTCAAATTAGTTTTGTTCTTGAGTCTGCCTTCCAAAAAGCAAACGGCCAAAGATCAATTTTCAAAGCATCTTAATTTTTTTTAGTACTTACTGGTTTCAACAAGGTATATGATAATAGAAACTGCTAAATGCTGGCTGAGCTGAGTGCTGGCCTACAGCTCAAAAACCCTAGTAGTGAGACTTCCCTAGTGGGTTTGTAGAGAGACAAAGTTTGGTCTTACTGGAAGGAGTTGGGAGCTCAACTTTTAACTTGACTGGTTGTCATTGAAAGAGTTGATGATATGAATTGTTTGCTGTGCTGTTAAGGGTGTATTATATCAGCAGTGTTCTCACATTTTGATTAGTTTTTCACGTGTGTTTGCTGTTGTGTTATGGAGGCTGGCAGGTCGGAAAGTGTGTTTCCGCCTCTGGCTTTACTAACCTCAGTCAGTACTCCACACCCTGCCTGGTCTTTCTGAAATGTAGCTGTGATCATGTGAGGCCCCGCTCTTCAGGGATCTCTGCTGTCCTCTGGGGTTCAAGACCAGTCTGTCATTGGGCTTCTTGTTTTGACCTCCCCTGACCTCTTCAGCCCGTCTTGCTGCTGCACTCGTCCCTTGGGCCTCTGCGTAGTCAGATTTTGTCCCTGCTCCCCCCTCCGCCCCTCCAGTGCATTTGTGGGCTCAGCTGGCTTCTCCTGTTAATTCCTTCTCATTCAGCTCTCGGCTGGAAAGCCACCCCAGACTGCCTGCCCGTCTGGAGAGCCCTCATAGGTGTGTCCTGAGCACATTGTGTTTCGCCTGCTCCACTCTCTCTGCTCCGGCCGCCCTGGCCTCTGGCCTCCTGGAGCACCGAGGCCATTCCAGGCCCCAGGCAACTGCACCTGCCGTGCCTTCTGCCGGGACACCTGCCTGGCTTGCTCTTTACTGCCTGTAAGGCTTTACTCAAACTCCCCTCCTCGGCCCCTCCCCTGACACTGACTTAGGACGCCCTGCTGCGTCCAGCCCCGCCCATCTGCCTTAGCTTCTATCCCACAGCACTTACCCTCTGACTTTCCGGGCATTTTCCTTTTTTGTCTCTCTGCCTGGCTTCATCGAGGTGTCTGTAGAGGCAGGAATTGCTCCTCTTTTGGCTTCGATTACTGTCATATGCCTCGTACCTGGAACGTAGCTGAGTGACTGTCAGTCAGAGGCTGTCTGAGTGACCAGACTCTCAGCCCTCTAGTGTGATGTCTGGCATGGCACCGTGTGTCTCAGCGGTGGTGTGGATGGAGGGAGTGGCGTGAGGGCGCTTCCCTGGAGTGAGGTGGGAAAGGTGGAGGGCCATGGGCAGTGACAGGTCAGTGAGGAGAGCTGTGGGCCAGTGCTAGAGAACAGTGTCCTTCCCAAGGCACAGGAGATGGGGTAGGAAGAGTGGACAGATGCAGGAGGTGGGGACCAAAGTCTCTTCGGTGGGCTGGGGTCCACGTGGGGCCCAGAATAAGAGGGGAGGGTGGCCCAGGCGCCCCTGCTGTTCACAGGGTGTGAATAGTATGTGAGGAGGCTGGGTGGAGAGGGCACCATTTTATCTCACCGTGAACCAGTGGAAGGGAAGGCAGGCCTTGTTTCTGATCGACCTGTCTTCCTTCCAGAAAGAAACTCTAATCTCACCTGCCAGCTGAAATTGTGTCTGTGTTGCATTCCTCTTCACCCAGAAGAGGAAGCCCTAGGTCCTGAGCATGGCGTGTGGTCCCTTGTGTTTTTCCAGCATCTTCACTGGCCAGCCCCTTGCGGCTGCTCTGTGATCTCATTGTCATGCCGCTGCCGCTCTGGTGAGGAGCTGCGCTGGCCCCACGGGTCTTCCCTGAGCCGTGGCTTCTTCCCAAGCCGCCCTGCTCGGCCCTGCTCTGCCCCCCTCGAGCCTAGTCTTCGTCTCTGTCTCTGCCAGAGTTACCGCCCCTGCACTGTGGCGCTCAACGTGTTGGTTTTCGCTCCCCAGCAGTTGTGCCTCTGGGCGCTAGGCCCTGCCTCGGGCACGGGGCTCAGGCTCCTGCCCCTCTGTGGACTGTGGGTGTTTCAAGGCAGCAGCCCTCTGGGCTTTGGGCAGTGCCTAGTATTCACTGAGAGTTAACACGTGGAAGAGATACTTTGGAGTCCTCAGTGTTCCTAAAGAGTTTCAGTTCGTAAAAATTGAATTCCTAGATTTTCAAAGTTAAAATATATCTTAGAAATAAGAGCCTTCTGTGTTGCTTCCCCCAGAAGATTTGGAGTGGGTGCCGTCTGTGCAGAGCTGCTCCCTCTGTGGCTTTGAGGGAGAATCCTCCTTCCCTCGCCTCATGGAGTCCTCACAGCAGGGAACTGATCCCTGCGATGCGAAGTGCTGACCCAGCTCACAAAGCTGTAAGCCCTGGGGCTCCTGCAGGGCCTGACCTCTGCTTCTGTGCTCTGGGGACTGACTGCTCGTCCGTCCTCTTGGGGGGCGTTTGAACATATACTGTCCACATGTGAATAGGATGGTGTGCCGTTATATTTTTGCTCATCAGTATGGCTTCTGGTGCCATTTCTTTGTTCCTTGGGAATTAGCTGTGTGCCGGCAATGGGCCATAACCTGTGTCCTTGGTCCCAGGGACTTTACAGACCTGAGTGGGTGAAACAGGAGAGACAGCAGAGGAAAGACTGCATCTCTGAAAAGCCCGTGAGTAGTCTTGCCAAAGGGTTGACCTGAAACTGATCAAGCCTTTATGCCCCATAACCAGCTTACAGGAAACGCAGGGGGAAAGGAACGCATGAACCTACCCTGCAGGATGGCCGTTGGCAGAACTTAGGATTTGGGCAGTGACCAGGTCTCTTCAGCAAGTAAAACAAGGAGTCTCTGGATGATGGGAGGTTGGAGGCACATGGGCTGACCGCACTATGTAGGACTATTTGCATCCAAGGCAGGCCAGCTAGGTAGAGATGTAAGTAAACATCACTTCCACTATTTGAGACAGTTAGAAATTGGAACACTGGCCAGGTTTGTTATTGAGGAATTCTTTATTATGCTTTTTAACTGCTGTAGTGGTTTTAAGAAAAGCATTCAGACTGTGTAGAGCTGTGTACAGAATTTGTCAGTGAGCGGGGAGGGTGTAAGTTCAGTGGTACACAGAGCGCACAAGGTCCGGGGTTCAATCCCCAGTGCTGGCATTCTAACTAGCTAACTAAAACCTAATTACCCCCACCAAGAAGAAGAATGAAAGTAAAAGAATTTGCCAGTGAGATGATACAGCAGCTGGGATTTGCTCCACAGTTCTGTGAAGAGGGGGCAGCGAGGGCGTGACTGGATCAGGACTGGCCTAGGTGGACGTCAGGCTCTACCTTTACATGCATTCAGAATTCTCATGACAAGCGAGAAGAAAGCCGTGAAGGCAAGGCTGGGCACAGCCAGCAGCATCTGTAGGAAGGTCAGACCTAACTGGGGTCTGGTGTCAGGAAAGGCTTCCTGATGGGATCGCCTCGGGCCGGGCGCAGAAGAGGCCTGGCAGAGGGCGCGTGTGAGGATTCCGGACGAGGGCCTGAGACGGAGCGGACCTAAGGCTGAGTGGCTGGAGCACTGGGCACAAAACAGGGTTGTAGGGCGGGGGCGGGGTGAGTTCTTTTAGCTGTATTGAGAATTGTCATCCTAAGAGCAGTGTGAGGCCCTTGAAGGGTTTTAAACAGGGGTGTGGGGTGTGTGTGTGTGCGGTGAATCTCTGCTCTGGGAAGTGCGCTTCTCTGTAAACTGGCGATGGGAGGATTAGGGGAGTGAGTGGTGGGCACGGGAGACCAATCTGTGCTTGCTGTCTCTTTGGGTTAGGGTCTTCCCGGTTGTGCCTGCTTTGGGTGCCTGGGAGGCTGACCAACCCTGCCCCCTTGAAATCTGGTGTGGCCATGTGACTTGCTTTGGACAATGAGGTGACATGTTGCTTCTGACGAAAGCTCCGAGAGACGTGTGCTTTATCACGTCCTCTTTTGCATCTGATTGTGGGAGCACACAGACACGTGCTGTGAGCGAGAAAGCAAGCTCTGGGTTGAGCTGTTACTGCCCCACAAGCTCGCCTAGGGGTTCTCGAGGTCCAGTCCCCAGAGTGGCAGCACTGGTCACCAGGAGCTCCTTAGAAATGCCCGCTCCCGGGCCCCCCCTTGAGCTGCTGAGTCAGGCTCTGGAGTGGGGTGCAGCGGCCTGTGTTCTCACAAGCCCGCGTGGTGCTGCTCCCTGATCAGCCA